CGGCGACGGCCTGCAGTGTTCAACGACCTCAGTGTCTCTGCTGCAGCGTCTGCATCCTCAGTGTCTCTGCTGCAGCGCCTGCATCCTCAGTGTCTCTGCTGCAGCGCCTGCATCCTCAGTGTCTCTGCTGCAGCGTCTGCATCCTCAGTGTCTCTGCTGCAGCGCCTGCATCCTCAGTGTCTTGCTGCAGCGTCTGCATCCTCAGTGTCTCTGCTGCAGCGACTGAATACTCAACTCGACTGACAATTAATGATCATATATCGATCCTAATCCTACCTAGCATCTCACTTTGAAATTACGTTGTTCTAATGTTAAAATAAACATGAAATTAGTGATGCTTCAGTATCGTTTACCTGGATTTCAATTTCTCGGCAATTCCCACCACTTAAAATGCTTGGCATTTACTTGTAAATTTAATAGAATACAGAGGCTCCTATGAATAGAGGATTTTGCAGCAATTCAGAGTTTTTTCCAGTCCTGCCGTCTCATATGGTCCTCATTGAGTATCTTAACCGGATAACTGATGAACTTCATACCAGGGTGAACATTTAAGCCATATTATCGACGGCCGCACATTGGCCGACCTTCAGCAGCCATATACTTCCTTTAGACGTTAGGCAAGCGAACGGCCTTCGGTGCGGCATGGGACATGCCTAAGAAGCTTATGGTTTCGGTACCTGAATGGCCTTGCTTTTTTATTTCACTAAATTATATCAGGGAATGAGGCCGCGAATACCATAAGTTTGCCGAACTTCCGTACAATCCAATTCCCAATTCAGTTGACATTCAATCTAATCAATTTTTTCCCCGGAAAGACATAATTTGAGGTGTTATTTGCGGAACAATTAACTCTTCAAGGTCAAAACTACTCAGCAAATGCTTGCCGCGTGTCTGCGGCCGCTGGCAACCAGGAAAATACCCTTCAGACACCAGATAGACTAAACACCTTTGGAACTGAAGAAGATCGTGATCCTGAACTCTATACATCATCCTTCCTGGCAGCGTGCATGCCCTGATATGATTCCTCGCGTATTACGTGCCATCTGTCTTTTATAATTTAATAAATAGTTAAAGCTTTGAAACTCGAAGCATAATTTATTTCACGGTTGTTTTATCCGATTATATATCGATGGTAGTTAGAGATAAGACTGAATTCCTGAACTCTGGCGGATTGAATTTCAAACATCGACCTATTACTATTAAATCAAAATTCCCTTAATACGTGAAATCAGGGAACAAACTTAATTATAGGAAAACAGTTCTGGGCTGTTAGTAATCTAGATAAAGGCAACGACAAGAAGTAGTCAAACTCTACGGATGTCAGCACGCCAGGCTTGGCAGGCACGACTTGGCTCGTTCAGATTCAATTCATTACGGCGAGCGCTGTCGCTCGATCTCCCCTGCACGGCTATCTCGAGCGCCCGCCTCTTTGCCATCCTTCTCGAGCAATGCGTTAATTGGCTCCACCTTTTCGCTGTTACAACTACAACCCCCCTGCTCATACCCTCTGCCCCCTCACTTCCTCCCTTACCCTCGTCTTCTTCCCCTTCTCCTCCTCCTGTTCCGCGTTTTTCTTGCTGATATTCTCATCGTCTCCTGGCGGCTTGTGGTGCAGTTTTGAGTTTTTTCCTGCGTTCACATCATCTGGGAGCCACAATGCTTGAGTTTATACCAATTTTCTCACGATTGAGTCTTCATGTAATGAAAGTTTCTTTCATAAATTTGGAATTTTTTTCGCACTATATTTTATCGAAATTACTTATGCAGCGGCCTCTAATTGCACCTTGTTTATCGTAACAGCATTCATATTGTAAATGATATGAGCAAATTCCGCGATTAAATAAATCATTATAAAATTATTTCATAATTTCTTAAGCGGTTTCATTTATTCAAAAATTTTAATTTTTTTATAAAACATCAATACTTACTGCAAAAAATATCTCTCTGCATCAAAAGTAATTGGCCAACCAAATTCAACATTTTTATTAATCAAAATATTGATATTATCTTGCTCGGCAATGCTTGCCCAAATGAAAAGGGCGATGCGGCATAGGGAATGTTAATTGAGTTAAATTATGAAATAGAGTGAGTTCTCATATAGGTCATTGAAAAGGGTTTTATTCCTTACCTGCTGAGAACGCGAACACCAGCTAGACATGCATGACATGCGAGCGTTGCTGCTCCTACATGGCTTCGCTGGATACATGATAGTTGTACTAGTAGGTAGTGTTGTAGGAAGTGATAGTTGTACTGGTGGGCAGGGTTGTAGGAAGTGATAGTTGTACTAGTAGGCAGTGTTGTAGGAAGTGATAGTTGTACTGGTAGGCAGTGCTGTAGGAAGTGATAGTTGTACTAGTAGGCAGTGTTGTAGGAAGTGATAGTTGTACTAGTAGGCAGGGTTGTAGGAAGTGATAGTTGTACTAGTAGGCAGGGTTGTAGGAAGTGATAGTTGTACTAGTAGGCAGGGTTGTAGGAAGTGATAGTTGTACTAGTAGGCAGGGTTGTAGGAAGTGATAGTTGTACTAGTAGGCAGGGTTGAAGGAAGTGATAGTTGTACAAGTAGGCAGGGTTGTAGGAAGTGATAGTTGTACTAGTAGGCAGTGCTGTAAGAAGTGATAGTTGTACTAGTAGGCAGCGTTGAAGGAAGTGATAGTTGTACAAGTAGGCAGGGTTATAGGAAGTGATAGTTGTACAAGTAGGCAGGGTTGTAGGAAGTGATAGTTGTACTAGTAGGCAGGGTTGTAGGAAGTGATAGTTGTACTGGTAGGCAGTGTTGTAGGACGTGATAGTTGTACTGGTAGGCAGGGTTTTTGGATATGATAGTTGGACTAGTTGACAGTGTTAAATGCTGCCTCATGAATAAATACGCTCATAATAATGTTATAACTCTTAACCCTCCAATTATTTGTACATACTCAAGTACATAATATGATAATTACATTGGCGTATAGTGTTAGCGTATCTGGCTACATTTGTTGTCTTGCCATGAAAATATTTCAAAATCGTTTCTCATGTGCATGTTCGTATTCATAACTTGCCATATGTTGGAAGCCAAATTTTGAATCCTCTTTTCAGTTCAACATCGACCATGCAAATACATTGCCTTGTTGAACTGCCATTGCTGCTATCCTTGAAATTTTCTCTTTCTTTTGTGATACGAAGAGAAATGATATTTTTTGTGATATGTATTCGCCTTTTGTGTAGCCCTATGAACTCACCTTTAAAACTAAGTGAAACGAAAATAAAAAATCCGGCAAAGTCTTTTCCAATAAAATTTATATTGTAATAATAAAATACTAGTTCTATTTTTAATGAGCTTTCAAATCAGAAATCACCATGTTCATAATGAATCAACCTGAATCAAAGCGTTTCGGCATTCTATCGTATATCGAAGCGTCCACCTATAATGAGTTTGCGTTCCGTATGACATCTATTTATAGTATGATACATGATGATAGTAAATATTTCAGCATTTATTCCACCCATCACCGTAAGATTGTTTTCAGAATGTTATGAGCATCGCATGGTCAATATGTGCCCTGCACATATCACATTGTGCAGTCGCCCGGGGCTGCTTGCAAGAGGTACGCATCGGGCGTGCGTGTATCGTAACGTCTGCGCCTCCTGTTTTGCGTCCCGAATGCTATCTTCTATTTCCGTGTGAATTAAATTGGCCTCGATCAGCAGACAAAGAACTTCGTTTATCATAAAGTCTCTAGTATTAGTTCTTATAGTTATATCGCCCTCTTTGTAGTCATTTCACTAGTTGGTTAATTTTTATTTCACTTATTAATTTATGTTGGCTGGTTCGGATATGAAATTGACCATACAATCAAATATTCGTTCATATATTTTTTAGCACCTTTAAGCGTCTAAATATTTTGATGCTTGATTCTACCAATGCAATGTACACACCCATCATAATTAATTCCACCTATAAGCTGAAAACCAACACAAAATCCAATTTTCTCGCCATATATATCCCACAATGTGGTCAACATACAAACCGTTTCAATCCAAATCACACTAACGCATCTTATTGCTACGACGGCCATTTAACCCGTATAACCTGACACTTTATTTCAGTTTCCTTATAAAGTAGCCGGATTAATTTTCGGGCGCGATGTCGCTCGCTCCCAAGAGGCGATAGTTCAAGATTCTTTCGTGCAAGTCAAACCTATGGAGATCGCGACCTAGCTTTTAGCCTGTGGACGCCCGTGGAACCGAGTCCTCTCCAACAAACTCGATTAGACTAAGTCATAAATATTCAAAGGATGCGAGAGGAAATTCGTCGAGAGGAAGAGCGAGAGCTTCCGAACTTTGTGCTCCGGAATCCGTTTTGCTAATTAGATCTTCCATAAAAGAGTGAACCGCGAGCGCTCTGCAGGTCTAAGTTGCCACGCAGCGATAATATATGCACGTATATACAACTGCAGTGTATACGTAACAAGCTAAGTAACGTGCAAGTACCGTGCAAAATTCGTAACTTACCACGTTAGGTACCATGTAACGTTACAGGTTGTATGTCAAGTTACACGCAAAAAACGTACGTGCCACATAACGTGCTAATAGTAACGTACCAGGTAATATGCCATGTAAAGTGCCAAGTAACGAGCCACGGCACTAAAAATCATAAAAATGCAAGTTTTCGATGATAAATTAGGCCCTTCTTATCTCGTAAAACGCTGAATACTGAAGACTGTTTTTTCCTAATAATTACAGGAGATTATCCTAGCGACCTTTGTTATTTCTCTAAACTTAAGGTGTATTCAATCGACATGAATTGGAGTCTACATGTTATGGAAGATGAACTAAAGTCTCCATAAGCAGTATGGACGTTAGTCGCACGAACATCTCAATAATTTGAATATAATGTATTTTGAACATACTCGAACATTTATATGTTAATGAACATGAAAAAAGGATCTTTATAAACAATATGAACGTTAATCTCTCATGAATGTTAAGAATTATAATATAATTTACTAATGTGAACATACCCGTAAGCTGCGAAGGTTGGGTCGTAGGGGTAGTAGCCTGCGGGTGATGCGCCCAGGCTGCTGCCGTACATCGACATGTCGCCCGCCGAGCCGTCCTTTAACTACTTATCAGAGCACAAACATCAAACAACAAATTACGTGTGAGGGCACAACACAAACATCAACTTCATGAAGATAGTCGGCAAAATAAATTTCGAAATTTTTTGTATGCATCAAATAAAGCGATTACCAAAGCATTAACTATAGATTATTTATGCACCGAAAGTTCTTCAAGCGTTTATAACTAATTAATAATTTTAAATTATATCATATCGACAATTCATTATTTCTCTTATAAATTTATAATGTAGCTTGTATCAATACCTATTTATATCATTTATCTTTTATGTGTACCTAAATACTTGACCTTTACCTCGATATATCAATTTATCTTAAAATTGTTATTTTATGATATTTTCTGAATAACCAATTATAGCAATGTTTTTTATATAACCAATTATACCAATTACAAGTTACATTGGTCCCCACCCACCCACCCACGCTTATACATAATCACGTGCATCACTAGGTAAACAGATAATTTTTTCTCGCACTGAATATTCCTTTTTGCCTTGCACGCACTCTCTCGTGTCTTTTTACGCTTCTTTTTACGCTCCCCGCGCGCACGCGTCAGCACGACGGATGACCGCTCATTATGAGAGCGTATACGCAAAATGCCAAGCATCCGGCAAACGAGCGTCGTGCTTACGCGGGACGCTTGATCTCTCACGAGAGCGATTGCTGGGGAGGAGCTATCATTGCGTGAGTCTTCGATGATAAATGATTGCTTTACATATTAGGTAGCCGACGGCTTTGCTAATAATGTTTTTGTGATTGCAATCAGTCTTTTGTGAAACGCATCCAACGTACATGAGGAACTAGTATAACACTAAATTTTTAATCATAATAACAGTAAAAAATTACTGTAACATCATTTTATTATACTACAAAATGTAGGATTTTCAGAATGCTCAATCCCTGTTTTTACTCTTATCGACAATGATCTCTTGACCATTCATAACTTGCATTGCCTTCAATACTTACCATTTCATTATTGTCATAGTTTTCAATCTTGAAACTTTGGAAGTATTTTTAGTGAGTTTGAACGACACTTCAGCATAAGTTGTAGCGATAACTTCTTCTCGTTAGATCATTGTTACAAGCTCCGTTGCAGTGCACCATTTAATGCTCCGACGTTTTCTATTATTGTTACATGTAGAGCGCTGCATGAAAATGAGTGTTGTTAGCTCATGTTTTTTTTTTTTTAATTTTTGGGGATTTATTTTTTTCGGGAGGTAATTTCCAGAGAATAATTGATTGTAAATAATTGCTAATTGTTATACTAATTAATTTCAAAACGCTTATATTGCGTAAGAGTAGCATGTGGCTATCACACACCCACCACAATCACAATTGTATTTCAGCAGAATTTCCGAGAACATTATTTATATTAAATAACAACAATATAGAGGAAATAAGACCTTTTGCTAAGCTCTGAGCTTCCTGGAGCTCAGCTCGATCACTTATCCCATCCATATTCATAGAAGTGCAAGCAAATCCCGCAGAACATGAAACCTTTCTATTACACCTTAACACCCACTTTGCATTCTCTTCTATTCACAACTGCTCTACTTAAACCGACGCTTATCATTTCAATCTGACAATAAACCCGAGCACTTGCCTTCAAACTAATCCAAACCTATTTTACGTGTGAATAAATGTTTACATTACGCGGCGAACCCTCCCGTGTGGCATCACTTCTAATTTGAATACCGCGGCTTGACGTGTCTATACGGTATACGGCGGTCGACATCGCGCGGGGTGTTCAGTGATATCTCCTTGTATTCGGTGAACATCTCCTTGTATTCGGTGAACATCTCCTTGTATTCGGTGAACATCTCCTTGTATCCGGTGAACATCTCCTTGTATTCGGTGAACATCTTCTTGTATTAGTTGAACATCTTCTTGTATTAGGTGAACATCTCCTTGTATTAGGTGAACATCTCCTTGTATTAGGTGAACATCTCCTTGTATTCGGTCAACATCTCCTCGTATTAGGTGAACATCTCCTCGTATTTGGTGAACATCTAGTATTCGGTGTATCCTTCATGAGATTGCGTTAACATTTCACATTCCTCAAGGGTAATTTTGTAGTCTACTCTATCGCATGAACACTTAATATTATCATCTTTTTTTATATTTTGGGGGAATTTTATTTGGGGAATGAACCAAACAGCCAACACAATTCCAGGTATTTCTGGGAGTTCGCATGCGTCTAGAGCAAAATTTTTATGGTTTACAACTGATTCCTTCCTTTAGCTGAGCGAAAACAATGAGTCTGTCACAGCAATGTGTCAACTAATCGACTTTCATTGATATTCCTCTGCCCGAGCAGTTCATTTCGCAAACTACTGACGAGTTAAATAAAATTCGTCTTCAGATGGTGGTGGATTGAGCAATTTATTATTTCCAATACAATATATTTCACAGACTCGCAGTTATTTTGTTATTCTTTGCAGTAAAATAGGGTTAACAGTACAATGTCGAAACGCAAGGTCATTGGATTCTTTGTATTCTGCCTTAATTGTTTTCTGACATTTTTTCCGATGTTCTGAACATTTGTTTCGGAACATTTGTTCGCTTTTCTGAAATTTGGTCAACTGTTATCAAATTTGTTTCTATTTTCTGAAAGTTGTTAACCGACGTTATATATGGCAGGCCTATTGCATTATTAAATCTAACAACTTTATATTTTTTTCAGTAGAACTCCCGTCGTTCAAATTTCTTATGACGAACTCTTTCCTACATGACTCGAGGTGAAAAATCGTTTTTCAAGTTTTTTATGCTATTAGTTATAAACTCAGTTTATATTATAATCTAACGAAAACTCAGTTGTATTCATGCACCAATAATCTTGACTCAGTTTTCCCTAAAGCACGAATTTTTACATGGTGCTATTCCAGCCATGGGTCATAATTTTTCTTTTCACATTTACGAAAAGCTTTTCCCTTTTTTCTGAGGTTTCCCTGTCATATATCGCGCGTGTGCATTGCTAGGCCAGGTGGCGCGGCCGAGAGTATCGCCGCAGGATGACGCAGCAGTGCACAGGGAAGGGGTAACTCTTATAGTTCGCTAATAAATCTCGTCGCGATCCACCGCTATAATTATTCCAAGTGGATCAATGGAGCGAGGCTTGCGAGCACCGAGCCTATAACGCGGGGGATTTATCACACACTCTCTTCACCGCAGGCTGCCTAATGCAAGAAATTTTCGAGTTTGATTAACATTTAAATGTTTATTTATATCGACAAATGCTGAAAATTTTAGGTTTTGAATAAAAGTCTCTAACGATAGGTCGAATACATATGTTATCACTCGTTAAAAGTAATTTTTAAAAATAAATAGGTTTCTCTAACACTGCAAAATAATAAATTAAAAACCACCTAACACCACAATTGGAGACCAACACTAACAGCAGCCAGAGATGGAAACCTAATTCACTGTCTTGCAGCCCACGTTGTTTATTGCGGTTTGTAAGCCAACGTTCTGAACGCAACAAGCCAGGCTTCCACCGACGCCGAACTTTTCTCAATGGGAGCCTCCGGCGGGACGCGCACTTGTGTCAATCAGGAAGCTTGAAGCGGCCCCGATGTGGCACAGATGGCAGGTTATTTTAGGGACGCTTCCGAATACAATGGGACGCGTTTATGGGCCTCAATCAGGTCCCTCATTACTGACGAATGGGTTAGACAGCGTGGCTTTGTGAGTGACGGTTGCCTAATTAACGCGATACTGCAGTGATGCTCCTCAGCCGCACTGAATTATAAATGAAGCATTGATCTTAAATTGTCCCTTCTGTTTGGGATCCCGTAAGCCCAGAAGTTAGTTCAGGGAGATAATAATACTTATTTTTATGCTATTAAACACATCAGTGTGCGGATGTGGTTTAGCTTATAACTTTCACACTGAAACAGTTCTCTTGTATTTAACAATTTGGCTTCACTTTTACAAGAAAAAGTCAAAGAGCTTATTGCGACAATATATATATATATATAGATATAGATTTGTCATCATTTTAAAGCAATTGAAGCTCGTACGCTTTTGGCTTCCCGTTTCAGCGCCATGGATCCAAACGCATTTGTCTTGGTGAAACCTTGCACTATATATATTGGCCAGGAGAGGGAGAGCCAAGTGACTTCAAGTGTTGGCTTCAGGAGACGCGGCTTAAACCTATACGTCAATTGCGTCGTCTTGCATAGGTAAGCTGGGCAAGTTGAAGCTGGACGGTGATGAGGATAATTAAGGACGATAATTTTTATTCAAAAGCAAATAATTTTCCGCTTTTGAATATAGATTTTGTTCGCTACGAACTTGTTAGTGCATTTTTTGTTTTTTTTTTTTTCTTAAGTGAATGTAAGAATGTATCATTTATGATCATTTGATAAAAATCGAAAGCTTCATTTAAAAATTTTATTTCAAATTGTAAAATTATTATTCCAAACATTTCATTCCAAGAGATTGGGTTTAAAATGATAGCTAATTCTGTGAAAGAATTTTAAATATTTTCCATATAACTCTTTGAAACACAACCTCACATGTCGTAGACCCTCATCGTTCATGGAGGCGACGTCTGTTGTCAGGAACTTGCGTCTGAAGGACGGAGCGGCGACGGCTTGAATGCTCAGCTCGCGCTGCATATGCAGTATCATCCTGTGCAACAATACAGCGACCATACAGAGCGCTATATTGAAAGACAACAACTGCACTCACAACCCTTGCCTTATCCCTACATGCCTCCTTCGCACGATGCAGCTCAGCTGCGGTGCCGCTAATTGCCTGCACTTCATCGCGTGAAATGAGAAGCGTTTCTATGAGACGTCCGCTGCACGACAGTTGCTTGGAATAGCGCTTGTACTGGACAATGCTTCTTAGAACTTCAGCTGTGCCACTTGAAATGGAAATTAAGCACTTGGAAGCATTTTTATATTCCTCCATAATTTTCACATTTTATGTAAATGGATGTTGGTAAAATGAAGCATTATTAAATAGTAAA